TCTTCAGGTTCCTCAGAGTTATACAATTAAAGCAGCGACGACTCCATCCTACAGTACAGTCTTAAACAATTCTGGGACTGCAGAAAAGACCACAAATCTCTACGCCAACTCGCCAACTCCATTTTCAGCCCCACCAGAGAAGAATGTATTCTCAAGATCTCACGGGTCCACTGATAAATTCTACAAGAATGATAACAACTTTTACCAGAACAGCGACCACTTGTACACCAATGAGAAGAATTTTTATTCCAATATCGGGAACATAGCTACACCTCAGGTACCCGTCGACGACAGATCGAGACATGCCACGAGAAATGCTGTTTACAGTAATATAGAGGCTCCAGTACCAATTCCAATTCCAGTGCCAACTCCTATTGTTCATAAAGAGAAGGATATAATTTACAGTAATATTCAATGGAACAATAAGCCTGAAAATACTTACTCCAACATTCCCAGTCATGGTAATAATTTATTAATTATTTAACGAATTCTCATATTGTATAGTATTTTACGGATGATTTTTTTCCAAATGGATAAAAATTGGTGGAGAACTGAATAATTAATACGATTATTCCATTAATTGAGTAATTGTAAATGAATTATAAATATTCCAGACGATCTTCCCCCTCCCCCAGGACCAACAGAGTACATATCCTGTGTCTCAGGAAATTTTCCGCCGCCTCCAGAGGAGTTGCCACCCCCGCCCTCGCCAGTGTCATCGAGCTACTCAGAGTTACGTAGAGCAACATATCAACCAGAGTATCCCTCGAACTACCCAGACTTGTACGGTCCAAGTTCGCAGTCATCCTCGACGTACGAGTCCATCTACGAGCCTATTAACCCCAGACCACCATCCCAGCTGTCCTGCAATTACTCAATGTACTCTGGTTACGGTTCAGCAACCTCTACCCAACCCCCCAGCAAAGTATCCCCAGTAAAAGAGGTGGACACGCTGACAGATCTGTTGGTCCAGGGAATGGAGGACAATCAGGACGACATCTATGGAATTTGTGCCCAGTGTGGTGAGAAAGTCGAGGGAGAGGGCAATGGTTGTTCAGCCATGGACAAGGTCTTTCACATCAACTGCTTCTCCTGCTTCGTCTGCCAGGTCAATCTCCAGGGTAAACCATTCTATCCCGTCGAGGGTAAGCCCTACTGCGAGGACGATTACCTGAATACCCTGGAGAAGTGCTGTGTATGCACGAGACCTATTCTGGATAGAATTCTCAGGGCAACTGGAAAACCCTATCATCCCTCTTGCTTCACCTGCGTTGTCTGTGGACAGAGTCTCGATGGTATTCCCTGCACCGTCGATGCAAC